TTGCAGATTTTAGACTCGGTGCTCCCCCTATTGATAGAGTCTTAATGGAATTTAAACCCTCTCCTTTCTCCTTTCTCAGTTCAGTCTCTGCAGCTGTTTCCACTTTTCCACTTTCTCTCCAGCTGCTTTTTTCAGGGGTGCTTTTCCCCTATGCTCTCCCCCCAGTCTCCATCCCCTCTCCACAAGCAAAAACAGCTCCCTGCCCTCTGTGGCTCCTCTCTCCCACACTTCACCTCTCCGTGCTTCATACCTGCTGAGTTCTGTGGTTAAGGTTGTGCAGATTATTGTGTTAATCCTCAAATCAGCTTTCTAGGTGTGCAGGATGGTTTAATGTTGATCTGGCTGTATTTCATGGTAGGTGAGATGGAAAAAAGACTTCCATGTTGTCCTGCCATCTTGGCTCCCCCCCTGGAACACTTAGGTTTTAACATTCTGCACCCAGGGCTTCAATGGAATAAATAAATCAATAAGCTGATTGCCTCAAGTAGTTTGATTGCCAGTTGCATTGGGGTAACTTTTGTTCTTCAGTGAATTTTACACTAGGGAACAAGGGATGAATGTGGGTGTAGGCCTTGTCCAGGCCCCTGATTCGTAACCCTGACCTGGGAAGTCATTATTCTCAGAGCTGTGTGTAACTTACAGGAGCCTGTCAAATGCTCTGTATCCTTCTTTTTGACAGTTTTTCCCAGTGACATGTGTCATAAATACATTTCTCATTTGCCAGAATAGGTTTGGGTTTGTTTGAAAATGACGGGTCCTCCAATACCACATTCTTAAGTCTCACTAACAGATCATTTATACCAAAAATACTTCCTTTACAGGAAAAAAGATGGTATGATTTTCAATGTGGGTTGAAAATCAAATCCAAGTTCTAACAACACTGAGACTTCCTGGACCCTACAGATTAATCATGATGATCTTACCATGAAATACTTTGGGTAGTAGGAATTACTCTCTACTTATTGTTTCTGTCAAAACCTTTGATTGGAAAAGTTTTTACAGTAGGCATGTTGTCATTTCTAAAGATGATTATTAATTTCCTGGTGTGTCTCAACCATAATATGGTGGTCATTTGTTTTAGGCAATAAGTGTACCCTTGAAGAGTTGTTCATAAACTAAATTTTAACAGAGTAGTTCATATGTTCAATACACACGAGGAACTATTTTACTTTCTGGGTTCGTTTATAACTGGAAAACCTACTCTGAATTTGTTTGAGAAGTGTAATGCTCATACATTAGATTTTGTTTAAGTGAAGGACAGTTGAGTCACCTGGGTTGCTCAGTCAGTTAAGCATCCAACTTTGGCTAAGGTCATGATCTTGTGGTTCATGAGTTTGGGCCCCACGTTGAGCTCTGTGCTGACACCTTGGAGCCTGGAGCCTGCTTCAGAGTCTGTGTCACCCTCTTTCTCTGCCCCTCCCCTGCTCATGCTTTGTCTCTCTCTCTCTCTCTCTCTCTCAAAATAATAAACATTTAAAAAATTAAAAATAAATAAAGGACAATTGACCCTTAAATAATGTGACAGTTGGGGCACTGACCCTCTGTGCAGTCGAAAATCCATGTGTAATAGAGGTGCCCGGGTGGCTCAGTCAGTTAAGTGTCCAACTTCAGCTCAGGTCATGATCTCACAGGTTGTGTGTTTGAGCCCCGCCTCGGGCTCTATGCTGCAGTTCAGAGCCTGGAGCCTGCTTCCGATTCTGTGTCTCCCTCTCTGTCTCTGTCCCTCCCTTGCTTGTGTTCTATCTCTCTGTCTCTCAAAAATAAATAAACATTAAAAAGTAAAAAAATTAAAAATAAAAGAAAATCCATGTATAACTTTTGATTCCCCCTAAACTTAACTACTAATAGCCTACTATTGACCAGAAACATTACTGATAAAATAGTCAATGTAATACATTGTACATGTAATACATGTAATACATATAGGATGGATTTTTCTATCTTGTATGTATTATATACTGGATTATTACAATAAAGTATACCAGAGAAAAGAAAATGTTATTGAGAAAATCATAAGGAAGAGAAAATACATTTATGGTAGTGTACTGTATTGAAAAAAATCCACATGTAAGTAGTCCTGTGCAATTGAAACCTGTGTTCTTCAAGGGTCAGCAATAATCTTAATGAGAATCAGATAAGATTACCAGTGGTCTTGTACTCTCAGTTCTGACTTAATTATACCACATTTCATCATGATAGGAGACTGTAAGATTTGTCAATTCTACATTTTCTCACTGATACTCAAAAGACTCAGAAAAATCTGCTCCTTGAGAGTCACTCCTTGCTCTTTCTCATCTCCTTCTTTCAGGGAGGGATGTGGGGTGCCACCAGCTCAGAGTTGGGGATGATTTGTAATGTTTTGCTGAAATATTAGGTAACTTACTAAGTAATTTCTCACGATCCTCTCAGTCCTGAGCTCCACATTTCTGTGTGTTCTGGTCACCTATTTCTGCATAATAAACTTCCCCTAAATTTAGTGGTATAAGGAGTTTGTTACTGTTTCTCACCATTCTGTGAGTTGTTTAGCCTAGTTGGTTGGTTTTGACTTGGGCTTTCTGAATGTGGCCGCACACCAGCATTGGCTGGGGCTGCGGGCATCCAAAAGCTTGACCAGTCTGGTGGGCTTGCCAAGATGGCTCATTTACGTGTCTGACAGAGGCTTTCTGTCAGTGAACAGCTCAGCTGGGCTGTCCACAAGAGCACTGATATGTGGCCTCTTGTGTGGCTTATTCTTCTCAAAACATGGTGGTTGGGTTCTAAGAAGGGGCATCCTAAGAGTAAGTGTACCAAGAGACCCAGGCAGAAGCTAAAAGCCTTATGATATTTCCTTAAAAATCCCAGAATGTCACTTCTGCCACACTCAAGGCAAGGAACTAAGGCAAATTAAGAATCAAGGGGAAGGAAAGTAGGACTTGCCTCTTGATGTAAGTTGTAACCTGCAGATGGGGTCCATTTTTTGACTGCCATGCTGTGTGTTGGAAGAGCTTTCTCTAGAAGAGTAAGATTACATAAAAATGAAAGGAATGAGAGGCATTGTAGCACAGTGGGTAGGGGGTGGTTATAGAATGCTTGCTGTGTATGAACTAATGGCCAGCCTTGTTGGTTAGAACTCAGTACCGGGCAGCACACATTGAATGAGCCCATCTCCATGGAAGCTGGTAGCATCCCGCAAGGAGAAGCATTCCCATACAGTGGCCCCCACCCTAAAGTAACCCCTTCATAATACAGGTGATTGAAAAACACTTGGGAAGGGAATTGAACTAGCATAGTTTTAAAGTCAGTTTTATCTAAAAATATATCTAAAAATATTTTTATCTACATCTGCACACATGTATCTTGTTCATATTGAGTCAGTAAAACGATCTTCATAAATCAGAAGTGCACACTGCTGCACAAACACATAGGAAACTGTGAAGTAATGTGTCTAGTACACTTGATTTCCAGCTCATGCTGTGGAGGTGCTTGGAGAGGGCTGTGCCCATGGAGTACCTTATATACTTAGAATGGATACTTTGGCGTTTGAGAAAAGATCAAGTTCTGTCCAGGTGCTTGGGAGTCTAATTGCCTCCTTGGCCTCAATGAGGAAGACACCTGCCTGTTAATCATATGGAGTCGTGGGTACCCGGCTTCCTGCAGAGGAGTGTGGCTGGTCTGGATACATAGGCCAACAACCCTTGAGGGTTGTGAGGGTTACTCTCCACACTTGTAGCTTTGTTTATTGCTCCCTATGTCCTCCTCTCCAGCTCCCTGTGGACTCAAATTTGTGTTTATCTGTGCTGAAAATTTATAGGCAAGATAAACAACATTTCAAGCCATTTATAACCAGAGGCTGTGCCGGAAAGGAATTGGGCTTTCCATTAGAAATGTGTTAAAATGTTAGACTTTGCAAAAGGTAGGGAGAATACCCCTTGATGTGAAAAGAAGGTGATTAAAGGAGATTGATACAAGTTTGATCCAGAATATGGTTATGTGGGATTAGTACTCTATCGACTTATGACATATCCTCTTATGGAATGCCAGGCATGGAGGGTCCTGGAGACGCCATGTGTATGGGGCCCCTGTTTTTATACTACCAGGAGAGCCTTTGGCAAGAGTGAGGGACATGGAAGGAGGTGGGGGAGAAAGGGTGAGGAATGAGACACCAAACAAACACAAGCCTTAGGGCAGTGGATGGAGTATGGGAGACTGAACTCCCACCTTGCCTGCCTTTTGCCATGTGGATCATCCTCAACAGAGGAGACCTCTCTTGATCTTCAGCTCCTGATAGAGCATCCACACCTTCTCCATACTACTCACCTCTCAGTCAGTCGCATGAATGGAGATCCACAATTCGGCCTCCTTCCTTACTTCTCTTTTGCCTGCACATTTTTTTTTTTTTCTAGGAGAGAGAGCGAGAGAGCGAGAGCGTGAGCAGGGGAGGGTCAAAGAGAGAGGGAGTGACAGACTCTGAAACAGGCTCCAGGCTCTGAGCTGGCTGTCAGCACAGAGCCCAATGCGGGGCTCAAACCCACAAACCGCGAGATCATGACCTAAGCGAAAGCCGGACGCTTAACCGACTAAGCCACCCAGGCGCCCCTGCCTGCACATATTAACAGAACGCCTATATAGGTTCCAGACACTGTGTGACGTGGAGAGAATTCTCCTCTTGGGAGTTACACAGCAAGCAAGGGAACAAATAATTAGTTATAGATTATGATTGGTGTTTTGGGGAAATGGGGGTGTGATAAAGAACAGGGAGTTCCCACTTTGGAGAGGATGTTCAGGAGGTAACAAACAGCCAGTGACCCCAAAGGCCATGGTTAAACTTTGACATGTCTTATATGGTATTTTAAAGTTCCTTAAATTGTGTGTTGTTAACTTGTGGGGGCTTTTTTCCTTTTATGAGCCCAAGTTAATAGAATGCCGAATGGACAGCAATTTGGGGAGACAAAGGGAGGCCAACCTGGTTGGCCAGACATCTTCTGGCTGACACTTTCTTCACCACCACCTTTTCTCCCTAGGGAAAGGAGACGTGTTTGGAGACGTGTTCTGGAAGGAAGCCACTCTTGCCCAGTCCTGCGCCAATGTTAGGGCCTTGACCTACTGTGACCTGCATGTGATCAAACGGGATGCCCTGCAGAAAGTGCTAGAATTCTACACGGCCTTTTCCCACTCCTTCTCCCGGAACCTCATTCTCACCTACAACTTGAGGAAGAGGGTAAGCTGGCCATTTTGGTTTATTTTCTACCAAGAACAGTCTTTTGTGCCCTGCAGATAACCACATGGGCAGAGAAAGTCCTTTCACAGATTGTTTAAGTGGAGCAATAGTTTCTATAGGGATTCTGTGCATGGCTTGTTTTTCAGAGATTTTGCTATGAAATAAGGGCAAGAGAATGTTGCTAGATTAAAAGACAGGTTAATTTTGCTGCAAAAGGGATTGGTTCATGAGTATGCCCATGGGCTTTTCCCCAGCAATATCTAGACTTTCTGGCATTTTGAAAAGATGAGCAAAAAATGAGGTCATTAGTCAGAAAAATGACTGAGTGGGGCTGCTTAATTCAAATAAACTGAATTCTCCCTGGTGACTAGGTCTCACTAAATGGTGTGAGGCCATTCACTAGCTGATAATAATAATTTTTAAAAGCTAGGAAGATGATTCAGTTGGGTTAAGAAAATCAGAAAGGTATGGAATCTGATTGCCTAGAGAGTATCTTGTATACACCTGCTGATTTAAGAGTAGTTTTAAGACCCAGAGAAGATTTCTGGTCTGAAATTGTTTCCTTCAGCCCTCAGATCATCAGGATTGTTCCCTCTGCCTCTGTGAGGATTAAAGTATTCTGTCTCGTATTCTTTAGGTTTTTCATGACCACCTTTCTTGCACTTCATCTGTCTCTTTTAGTTAACAAGGTAACTCGGACCTATAGAAACCACCTATAGGAATTATCATAGGAATCTTTCAACAAATGATCTCGTAATCTTTCCTCCAAGACTGTTCCTATTCTTATGGTCCTTGCCTCTGTTGACATTGTATCACCCCAGGGTTCCAAGTTAAAAATGGTGGCATCATGATTGATGCTTCTTTCTGGTCTCCCATGTCTCAGGTTACTCCTCAAATCCTTTGGGTTCCACCTAAGCTCTCAAACCTGGGTCTACACTCTACTTCCAACCCTGGGGCTCTCCCTGAGCTCCCAGGACACAACGCCCAGATGCAGACCTTCCCTGTGTCTGACACCATGCAAAGGTTCCCGCTTGTATCAGTCCTCAACACGGCACTTCCTCCTTTGGCTAATTTTGTGACCTTTAAAACAAATTGGATCATGTCCCTTCCTTTGTAAAGACTTTTTGGCCTCACTGTAACTTTAGGATAATGTCTGCAATGCTTCAGCATGGCTTATGTGGCTTTTCACATCTAACCCTGACTTAAACCCCAAGCCCCAACCTCAGCCACTCTTCACATGCCCACCTCTACCACCCCGAACACTCCCACCGCGAGGGCTCTGCACAACTCTGCAGGCGCCACACCCTCTCAGAGCCCTGGGCTTCCTCAGCCAGGCATTCTTCTTTCCCTTTCTCTCTGTGACAAATGCCTATTAGCCCTTAAGACTACTGAACTGTTTACTCATTCACTCATCAAACCCAGTATACACCAGCTGAACGAGACTAGACATAGAAAGCTGAATAACAGTTCCTTATCTCCAGGAATCTAAAGCCTAACAGAGATGATCAGCACAGGAAGGATAAATGCAGTATGTGAGGCTAAGTATAGGAGTGTGATTTGTACAAGATATTGTGGGAACATGAAGGAGAAGGGCAGCTAAAGGGGGAGCTGGAGAGAAAGTGTTGGGGAGGGGAGTGATACTTGAATTGAGTCTAAAAGGATGAGCTTGCCAAACAGTGAGAGGATACAGGTGTTTCAGGTGGAAGGGCAGTTTGAGCCAAGGCACAGAAAAAGGAATCAGCCTTTCTTCTTTCAAGTTACTTATACAAGGTTCCAAATGCATATCACTAGGTTACCCTTATAATATGCTTGTGAGTCCCTACTCAGAGGCCCAAGAAGGCAAGGCCTGGGTACCTGGGTAGTCCCAGTGCCTAACCCAGTACAGAGGATTAATAAATATTTAAGGATGCCAAGGAGAAAGTGATGGAATCTCTAGGACTCAGTTTCCACATCAGAAAATGTGAGGTTATGGATCATTTTTATGGTTCTGTGATTTTAAAGTTGGCCATTTAAATTCTCATTGGGAATGGGCAGTGGTGTTGAAGTGTGCATTCACAGTTCTTTGTTTATTTGGGAACGTGGAGTGCCTGCTGGTGGTACTTTTAACCACGTGGATTCTTCTAAAGTCTATTTTTTTTCCTCCTTTTTATGAAAGCAAGTTGATTATAATCAGCTTTCAGTGTTGCTGATAATGTAGGTTGGAAAAAACACAGTTTGGGTTATTTGGAGTAGTAATCATTTTGGAATAATTGTGGATCCAATAAATCTGTCTTATAAAAAAATAAAAACAGCAGTGCCTCCGTGGTCAGACTGTCTTCATAAGTACAGAATAATTGACAGCTTGCAGAAGGGAAGACTGGGGGCAGCATTTCTGAAAGGCTGTCATGGAGGGCAATTAGGTGGGGTGTGTATGGCCACAAGGCGTAGAGGAAGCATCCAAGCTGTAGAAAATATAAGAAAGATCAGGTGGTCCTGAAGGTATTTAGACATTCCCCAGATACCCCTCAGAGATGTTGTAGAGGTCCCTGAGGCATCCAATGGAGAGTCACATTAGTTGACTTTCAAATGTCCTTCCAACCGCAAATGCCTCTGAGTCTGGTATGGATCCAAGACAATTTTAGTGAGATCCTTTACAAGAAGAGGTAGCCATTCTTTTTCTTGGAAAAAAGAGGCTTGTCATTTTTTTGGTGTTGCCATTGTAATCTCTCATTGTGTCCTTCTGAGAACTAATTCATAGTTACATAGGGCATAGAAGACAAGAACATTACATGCAAGAATTATTCTTGCAGCAATTTTTTTTTCTGGCAAAGTGAAGTGTATTCTTGTGGCTGTTTCTATCTTGGCAAAATCAAGTGTTGTTTGCAAAGATTCCTGAGAACATAGTGCCTTTGACATCTGTTTGGGGAGTTGTTTGGTTCTGTCGACGTCTCCTTGTGCACCGTAAAAACTCTCAGCTGGAAGGTGCGTCAATGGCCATCCAGTCTCTCCTCCATTTTCCTACCACACCATCTTCATTTCACAAATATGACCTTTTATCGAAAGGTCACAGAGCTGTGTCAGTAATGAAAGAATTGGAGCCAGAAATGATTCATCACCCGGCTGTCTTGCTGATTCTCACAGCTTCATGGCCTCCCCTGGCCTCTGCATTCTAAGCCTCATCTCTTTATCTCTGAATCCATGTGTGTGAGCACTGCTCAGCTCTCTGCACTGCTCTTGGGACCCAACTCAGGAAGGGACGTGTCACCTTCCTCCATTTCCTCCAAAGATGCCTGAAGTCATAGGCAAGAATGAAAGAGGCACAACCCTGAGGCCAATCCTGGATTTTGACCTTTGGACTCCCTTGCCTGTGGGCACTGAGCCAGATGAGACCTGGGTCTGTATCCTGCCTCTACCACTTAGAGCTTCTGCAAATTATAAGTGCTTCCTCATCTATAAAATGAGGATGATGAGAAGTTCTACCTCGTAGGGTAATTGTAAGGATTAAATAATACTGACAAAGCTCTTACACACAGAGTCTCACACAGTACGAACTCAGTTACATTGTGGGTTAGTATTTTGTTTTACCAATTGACACCCTGCTTCACTCTATATTATCTTGTGCCTTTTGGAAAATAAAAAGAAGTCAGCTTGGGGCACCTGGGTGGCTCAGTCGGTTAAGTGTCCAACTCTTGGTCTTGGTTCAGGTCATGATCTTGGGGTTTGTAGGATTGAGCCCTGCATCAGGCTCTGTGTTGACAGCTTGGAGCCTACTTGGGATTCTCTCTCTCTCTCTCTCTCTCTCTCTCTCTCTCTCTTCCTCTCTCTGTCCCTCCCCTGCTCTCTCTCTCTCTCTCTCTCTTTCTCTCTCTGCCCCTCCCCTACTTGTACTCTGTCTCTCAAAATAAATAAAAAACAAAAAGAAGGCAGCTCTTCTGCATTTGCTTACACAGGGTACTCACTCTGCAGAATGTTCTTTGGAGCAGGTGTTACTCCAAAGTTCTCTCTACCTCTTGCAGCTGCTCTAGAATGTTGACATGGTGCTGGCCCCACTGTCTCTTTGGCTCCCACCAGTAGTGAGGTCAGCATTCACTCACTATTTTGGCCAGCTTCATTCATGGAGGGAAAAATTAGGCCATTCTGGCATCTTAGGTCAGTCACCATGGAGTCAGGGTTTTGCCAAGAGGAAAGCACAGCATACTCGTTTCCTCTAAGGGAGGTGGCATGTGGTTGTCCATGAAAAGAAGGGGGGGTAGAATCTTCCTCATCCCAGACCCTTGGCACTCGGGGGTGCAAGGCCCTCTGGGAATCTTCCTCAAGGCCCTGAATAGTCTTGTAGTCTTTTCTCTGCAGTCAGAGCTTTGCAGGATACTGATAGTAACATTATTACTAACTCCTGATAATTATGCAAGCTGCAAGTTCCATCACAAAGTTAGTATGTGTTTCATGTCAGTTTATTAAATCCTCAGAATAGCCCCGTGACATTATAGTATCAATCCTATTTTTCCAGGGAATAAATTAGGGCCCTATGGAGAAGAGAATCACTTCCTCAAGGTCACCCAGCCAGTAGGTAGCAGATTCCAAACTCTGCATGTGCCCCTGCTGCTAAGCAGCATTGTATCATCCTGGGAAGCTTCGCCCATGTTGGCATTCTTTGGCTTCTGCTTTCTCCCAGTTCATTGACTTTTCAGGAGTGGAACAGAGTATCTCCAAAGTATCTTCAGTATCCTCCCGCACACGCAGAAACTTGTACAGAAAATCCCAGTCTGGGGACATGAGAAGTTTCCTCCATAGGGTGACAGCCACACCATGGCCGGGTGTGTGTGGGAGGAAAAGCACACCTCCCTTTGGTTAAATAGCAGGCTAACCCAGCCATGATATTAGTAACTTACGAAACAGAGCACCCGCTTTGGGACTAGGGACCTAGGTTTGAATATCCTGGTTTTGACTATTGACCAGCTGTGTGCCCTTGTAAAATTTCCTAAACTATTCTAGGCTCATCTGTAAAAAGAGTCTAATAAAAG